CACTGGTGGTTCTTAGAAACACAGTCAAGATGAAAATTCTCATTTATTACATAATTCAACCCAGCCACGTATTTTGCCCTTCCCGTGTGAGGAAATTTGCCCTTCCGAGTTTTCTCGGAACCTGAGGGTTTTGAAAGCTGGCCTTTGTGGGTTGCTCAGTAAACACAATACAGTAGCTATTGAATTGGGGTTTAGGGGAGTTAAGAGAAAACTTCTGGGAAGTTAGATGAGATGAGTGAAGATTAGCATTAAGAGAACTAATGGCATTTTTGTTGAACAGTTTATCAGGCAATATTCATTCCATCAGGCACACTGCTCTCATAACTGAGAATTCTGAGAAATGTAAAATAAAGCCCTTTCTCCATTCAACCCTACAAAGTAGTTGTTGAATAAGCCGTATTCGCGAAATTCCCCATGCACCTATTAAAATGATTTTCTCGAGTACCTCATCCTCATTTACAAATATTTTCTAATATAGGAATTTGAAGTCTTATTAGCAGCATCTTGCATCATATTTGTAAAAATATGAAACTGTATTGAAATGAAACCGTGTTCAGAAACGTATTTGTCATATGCTTTGTTTCCTTTCTCTCCTTATCCACTTTCTGTCTGCATTTCATCAGGCATGAGTGAAACAGCCTTTGAGAGGTTAACATTCTGGCACAATTATGTTCCAGATTCATAGGAGCTTTTGATCTTGGAGCTACTCAGAGACATCTTTCTGTGACCGACTTAGCTACCCTTAAATGTATTAGCTGCTTTGCAAATCAGAATGTTATTAAAAGCCAGCCAGTTTACATACAGTTATTACATAATCCTCTGTTAAGCAGTTTTTATGCTACAGTCTCTGGAATTTTTCTCCTCTTGACATAGGACCTTTTGGTAGTTTAAAATCCGAAAGCAAAAGGTTAAACATTATTTTACTTCTGACAAGCTGTAGGCCCACCTCCAAACATGATCTGCCAACAGTGCTGCTTTCTCGTTTTTGCAAGCCATTTTTCCTTAGTCATATTTAAGCATTTAGCACTTCAGCTTTGAAAGTCAGCTGCTTAATCCAGGTGTCTGAGTGGCGTGTCCACATGATACTGAAAACCAAGAAGTGGCCAGGGATAGATGATTCACGTGTGCCTTCCTGTCAGATGCCAACCCCTGTACCCTGCAGGAAATCCGTACTGTGTGCCTGTATGGAGATGTTGCAGCTCCATTTTTTAAGGATAATGTCAAAGGATTAGGGAGGGACTGGACGGACAGTTGCGAAGAAAACATTTATTTGGGCGGACGCTAGGGTACCAGGGAAAGCTTTGGATAGCTGTGATAATCCTATAGGCAAAATTGGAAGTGTTCGAGAAACCCCAACTGCTAAGTGACAGACCAAACTGTTTCATTCCCTTCTCTATATCGCAGCCATTTCCCCACTGATTTTCTTTCCCAGTGTTTTATATTTGAAGGTGTTGTGCCTGTAGGCTTTGCTTGGATGATGCTGAGGTGAGCCTTGAGCAGCATGCTAACACGGATATGGAAACCTCCTGTAAATTCCACAGATAATCAGCATTTTTGTTTTGGTGATCTGTAGCTGTGTTGTGCATGCACATTTGCATTTGATCAGGTAGAACTTTCTTAAAAGAGTCTCCGATCTTGTTCTCCCTTCGATTATTCATAGGCAATTCCTGGAGTCCAGAATTCACACAGTTGCTCTTTGACTGGAACATTGTTTTTCTAGTGGAACCCTGAAGTGTGTGTTTTAATGGAAGGATGGCAAATGGATTTCCTTAGAGTTAGGAGGACGGGTAATGAGAATATGTTGTGTAAATACATTTGTATCTTGTGGGAATATGATCAGAGCCAAGAAAATATGGGTCTCTACAGTATTTTTTTGCATATATTTTCTGCATCTTGTTTGCATATGCATTTTCCTCTCCTCTGGTTATTTATCTGTATATCCAGATCTACTATATGAAATTTTATAGAGTATGGAGCTGACAGCAGAGCTTTTTTTGTTTTACTGAATGTTTTGTTGGTGCATATGGTCTGACATGGATGAGCAGCCACGGTGAGATTTTGGAGTCTATTAAACTGGCTCATTAAAAAGATCAATCTGTTTCTGTAATAACACTGGGAACCATCAGTCACTAAAAGAGGGAAAAACTGACACCTGAGGAGAAAACACATTTTGGTAATTTGTTCATGACATGTCACGAACAAAAGAGCACTCTATATTTTGTTTACAACTTTGGGGGCTTAAATTCTGTGACGATTGCAGATTTAATCTACTAAACAATCATCATGTGTTTCAGGGATGGGTTGTGGCAAATTTAACTTTCTTCTCATCCTTAAATATGATTGCCACTGGTTATGTTTCTTCTTTTTTTAAACATTATTGTTATTTACAGAGAAATGAAGACTCTGAGGGAAATCTATGAAATCATTTTTTTTTTTCCTGTAAGAAACAGTGAAATTTATTCTACTTTCTTTTTAAAATATCTCCAGGGTGAGCTTCTGAACAACTATACTAAATTTGTAGGTCTGTGGTAGAATACTGTGGAACCCAATTTAGAAAAAGACAATTTTCATTTTAAAATCATGCTAGTTTTTCCTAAAATACTAAGGAAAGTAAATAGAAAATTCTGATTTCTACTCTTTGTTAATATTTAAGAGTTGATTGGTTATAGTAGACCTTGGTTTTGTCATTCTGTGTTGGGAGAAGCTGACAAAGGGGATAGGAACCTTCCTGGCGCTGATTAAATGAAGTGACTGCTTTCAAAGATAAGACTAGAAGCTAAGAGCGCTCTCTAAAACTTCTCGCCATGACAGTCATGAAGACACTCACACTTTCACACGGAGTTGAGGAGAGAAAGAGCAATTAGAGAAGGCTGCATTCTTTTGAGACAACAAAATGCATAAAAATTATTAAGGTGAAAACACTTGTGTTAATTATCATTGCTGTCTGTCTTTTCTCACAGCTTTGATCCTGCAGCTTTTTTTTATAATTCATCTTTAATATTACGTTTGCATCTGTTAATGCTGATCTTCTGACTCAGAATCTTTCTCGTTTAAGAAATCAAGCTCAATGATCTTTGGGTTTGTATGGGTAACACCGTTTCTACCTCTACCCCTTACTATTTCAAATGATCGATGTTAAGTATTAATCCTCTTCTTATATATCATCATTTTAATAGAACTATGCTTTAAATCGTTCTCAGCTTAACACATCTAGACTTTATTATGTAGGCCATGCGGTTGCATTAATATGTATTTTCTCCTCCCTCAATAATTAAATATTACTCTCTAAAAAGACTTGCTTGACCTTTAGAATTCTGTAGCTGGGAGGGATCTTATGGATCTACCAGGCCAACCCTTTCTCTTTACGCTTGAGGAAATGATGGCCCAAAGAACTTGCTTAAAGTCATGAAGCTTCTTAGGGGCAAAACCAGCATATTTACAGACCTGGAATCTTGCACAAAATATGTTTTAATGTGCAGTTTAAATAAGGAAAGCTCGGGCGCCTGGGTGGCTCAGTTGGTTAAGCGACTGCCTTCGGCTCAGGTCATGATCCTGGAATCCCTGGATCGAGTCCCGCATCGGGCTCCCTGCTCGGCAGCGAGCCTGCTTCTTCCTCTGATCCTCCCCCCTCTCATGTGCTCTCTCTCTCTCTCTCATTCTGTCTCAAATAAATAAATAAAATCTTAAAAAATAAATAAATAAATAAGGAAAGCTCAACTAGGAACTAGGATTTTTTCCCCCATTACTTTCCTTCATTTATTTCTGCTGAGTAATTGCTCAATTGGGTAAATGCGATGGTATAATATTCTGGGGGTTTATAAATCTTTTTTAATGACAGAGGATCCACAGTCAGCCAGGTTTCTTGGCTTAATGAGTAAGTTAAAGAATGTTGAGGGTTGGAGGGTCAGAAGGTAGTCATTTTGAAACTGTGTTGGTTGAATATGTAAGATTTGTCATCGCAGCACACACCAGCTGAACCAGCTAGGCCCATTTTTCCATTTCTGTAACATAAATGGGATTTCAATATTTTTGTCTTTCTAAAAAGAAAAGGTAGGTGCACTTTACAATGAATTGGAGGATTAATTGGCTATGCCAATCAGAATTAAATTTGTATTGTTACTGCGTTCAGTTTTCTGTGACAAAATATAGGGAATTTATGTTACATTCTTTACAGGCTAACTCAAGCAGTATCTACTATTTGAATGAAAGCTTCCCAATCATAAATATTAAAAATAGTTACTATTTTACTGAGCACTTAAGATGTGCCGAGTCTCATGCTAAGTAACTGACATATTAATATATAGTGATTTCCCCCCATCTGTGGGGCATACGTTTTTCCAATGGATGCCTAAAACGACAGATAGTAAACCCTATATATACTATGTTTCTTCCTATACGTACGTACCTATGATAAAGTTTAATTTATAAATTAGGCAGCATGTTATTAACCACAAAAATAGAACAGTCATAACAATGTTCTGCAGTAAAAGTGATGTGAATGTGGTCTCTCTCAAAATATCTTCTTGTACTGTACTCACTCTTCTTGTGATGATGTGGGATGTTAAAATGACTATGTGATGAGATGAAGTGACATGAATGACGTAGGCGTTGCGATGTCACGTGAGGCTACTACTGACCTTCAGACCATACGTTAGAAGGAGGATCATCTGCTTCTGGACTGAGGTTGACTTGGGAACTGGAACTGTGAAAAGTGAAACCACAGATGAGGGGAGACTGCTGT